TCCGTATAGCCTTCCAGTAAGCCTGTGGAGAGTAACTCAGTTCTTTTACAAACATATGATGAAAAGGGAGAAAAGTTAGAGCAGAGTGAAGTTGCTCTCTTGATATCTAACTCTAGAAGTTGTTTCTTAGCTGACTTATGTACATATCTGAGTTCATCCTGTGAGCATTGTTGAATATTAACCCTTAATCCTTCAGGGAGCTCACAGTTGCTGCAGAAAGAATTTGCCATAGCTCTCCTCCAGCCAGTTCCCTCGGCTGCCTCTGCCCTTACTCCTCCCACTGTCCTCATCATAGGTGTATGATTTTTGTCCAGTCTATTCCTGCACCCCCACATCGCTCTCCCCCCAAGAATTGTCAGTCCACTCCCTTTCTATGCCCCTGATTATATTATATTCACCAGTTTACTCTGTTCATCAGATTTTTTATTCACTTATTTTCAGATTCACTTGTTGATAGATATGTACTTGCTGTTCATAATTTTTATCTTTACCTTTTTCTTCTTCCTCTTCTTAAAGAATACCTTTCAGCATTTCATATAATACTGGTTTGGTGGTGATGAACTCCTTTAGCTTTTTCTTATCTGTGAAGCTCTTTATCTGACCTTCAATTCTGAATGATAGCTTTGCTGGATAAAGTAATCTTGGTTGTAGGTTCTTGCTATTCATCACTTTGAATATTTCTTGCCACTCCCTTCTGGCCTGCATAGTTTCTGTTGAGAAATCAGCTGACAGTCGTATGGGTAATCCCTTGTAGGTAAGTGACTGTATTTCTCTTGCTGCTTTTAAGATTCTCTCTTTGTCTTTTGCCCTTGGCATTTTAATTATGATGTGTCTTGGTGTGGTCCTCTTTGGATTCCTTTTGTTTGGGGTTCTCTGCGCATCCTGGACTTGTAAGTCTATTTCTTTCACCAGGTAGGGGAAGTTTTCTGTCATTATTTCTTCAAATAGGTTTTCAATATCTTGCTCTCTCTCTTCTTCTGGCACCCCTATAATTTGGATGTTGGTACGCTTGAAGTTGTCCCAGAGGCTCCTTACACTATCTTCATATTTTTGGATTCTTTTTTCTTTTTGCTTTTCTGGTTGGGTATTTTTTGCTTCTTCATATTTCAAATCTTTGACTTGATTCTTGGGATCCTCTTGTCTGCTGTTGGATCTCTGTATATTATTCTTTATTTCAGTCAGTGTATGCTTAATTTCTAGTTGGTCTTTTTTCATATCCTCCAGGGTCTCACTAAATTTATCGGCGGTTTCTAGAAAATTCTTGAAAAACCTTATAACCATGGTTTTGAACTCTATATCCAGTAGTTTGCTTTCCTCCATTTCTGTCATTTGTGACCTGTTTGTCTCCACATTTTTTATACTTCCCTGTGTTGGTAGAGTGGCTTTGTGTGCTAGGTGTCCTATAGGGCCCAGTGGCTTAGCCTCCCTAATTATCTGAGGTGGACACTCTTGGTGCACCCCTTTGTGGGCTTTGTGCACAGTCTTGTTGTAGTTAAGCCTTGATTGTTGTAGGTATCACTGGGAGGAATTGACCTCCAGGCCAATTGTCTGTGAGAACCAGCTGTGTCTAAGGTGGGAGAACTTCTGTGCTGAAAACACCCTTCTGGGGCAAGACTTGCTCCAGTGGGGCTTTGGTGCTCACTGAGTCTGCCCCCTGAGTGTGTCCCTTATGGATCTGAGGAGTTGTAATCTGGATGGTCCCACTCTGACCACTGGGTACACTGGCTCTTGGATCTCTAAGGAGGTGCTAATTTAGCCTCTGCCTGAGGCTACCCAGCAGGAGCTACGAAGAGATCTGCAGTTTCTCCTTCCTTGTTTGGGGTTTGGAGGTGCCCAGATGAGGCCCAGTTGTGAAGCAATGCAAGCTGCTGTGGGGCCTTGGGCCTTCTCTTGGAAGTTCTGGGTCTGTCTGGCCCAGCTGCAGTTTGTTAGGTAATTTTCAGATTGCAAAGGGCCAGGCCTTTCATATGCAAAAGCCTCTGCGCACAGCTTGGGTGGGGCGGGGTCTCAGGGAATCAACAGGGCAGAGCAAACAGCTATGGCTGATCCTCAGCCCTGCCCTAAGAGATCCCGAGTCTCAGTGTCCCGGTAATCGCTGCAAGCTCCTCTGAGAGAAAGCCGCCCTCGAGTTCCAAGTTCTGCCCACTGCCAGACAGTCAGTTTCTCCCTGTATGAGTCTGGGTCCCCAGAGACTCGCCCAGAACTGGAGTTCAGAGCAGTCGGGAGCCTGTGACTCCCTCCCAATTGAAAAAGACAACTGCATCCTCAGTTGCCAGCCCTTTCCACGTGCGCCTTCATACTTCTGCACTTTACTTCCACACCTCCTGAGTCTCAGTGTGCTTTTCTCTTTCCTTCTAGTTGTAGAATTTCCACTCAGCCAGCCTTCCTGTAGTTCTGGATGATGTCCGTTTTGTCTTTTAGTTGTATTTTTGAAGTTGTTGTGGGAGGCAGCAATTTCCGGTGTTTACCTATGCCGCCATCTTGGTTTTTCTCCTCTTTTGGTTACTATTTGAATGAAATATTTTTCTGTTCTTTTACTGTCAACCTATGTGTCTCATTTGATATAAAGTCTCCTGTCTGCATTTTTGTTTTGAATAGTTTCCATTAATGTCTTTGAATTCACTAATCTTTTCTTCTTCAGTAACTAATTTGCTGTTAAATTTTTTATCTTACAAACTGTATTTTTCATCTCTAGAAATCTGAATTGGGGTTTTTTCCCCTAGCTTCCATGTCTCTTATCATGCTCATGTTCTTGTCTACTTTCCTGAACATACGGAATATACACATACATACCTACCTATCTTTTAACACTTTGTTTACTAATTCTGTCACTTGTTATTTCTGGATATGTTTCCATTCTGTGATTTTTCCCCTTTTTATGGGTATTTTCTGACTTCGCATGCCTGGTAATTTTTGATTGCCTGCCAGACATTGTGAATTTTGCTTTGGGGTGGTGGACTTCTTTGTATTCCCTTAAGTATGGTGAGGCTTTTTCTGAAATATATGTAAGTAACTTGAAATAGTTTGATCTGTTCAAGACTTGCTTTTAAGTTTGTTAGGCTGCCCAGTGCAGCTGTTAGTCTAGTGTTAATTTGGTTCCATTACTGTGGACTCTGTTCAATGCTTATTATGTTAAGAGGCCTCTCCAAACTGACTGGTGGGAATATAAACTACTCCCTGCCCCGTGTGAGCTCTAGGGATTGTCCTGCCAGCTCCTGTCCACTGGCTCTTTCCATAGCTCCAGGAGTTTGCTCACAGTGACTCATGAGGAAGTCCCTGTAGATCTTGAGAGCTGTGTGAAGCTCTTTACACTCTAGTACTCTGCCCTACAAAATAACAGCCATTTCAGCCTCCTCAAACTCTGAACTTGGTTTCTTCAACTGAGCAAGACCTCCAGGCTCTGTGTGGGTTTTCCTTCCCTATACTGCAGCCTGGAAATTCTCTCTAGACAGTGAACTGCAATCAGAGGGCCGATGTCTTTTGTTTCCCTTCTTTTAGGGATTCTTATCTGCATTAACTGTTTCCAATATCTGAAAACTGTTGTTTTATATATTTTGTCTGGTTTTCTGGCAGGAGGCAAGAGGGTAAATCCAGTCCCTGTTACACCTTATTTATAGCTGGAGACAGCAATCTTTTTTATAATATTTAAAATTACTTTCTTAAATTTACTAGTAGTTTTACAATTATGTAAAATGTAAAGCTCCAAAGTTAAAACAAGGTATATGCAGAAAAGTCTATGATCTATCTCTTTGCCTTCCTCCACACACCTAGGTAACCATTTTTTAGTTTTCCCTTTTGATTTCCATTACTATTTTTATTATTAATATAAGCAAGTATGTATATCTACTCTAATTCCCTCCCTCTTCTTAGATAACTGGTAGCACTCTATACACTTTTCTCTACCTTGTTTTACTTAGTAATACACCCTAAATATTACTGCATAGGAGTATAGAGAGATAGTTCTCACTCCTTTTTACAGCTATATAGAATGTAATATTTTACAAAAGCCATTACATTTCAAGCCCATCTTTTTCATTTGTAACTTATAGAATGGAATTAAAACTATAAAAACATCATCACTGACAGTTTCCAGGTTTTTACTTACGCCATGCTGAAAGAGGGCTTTGCATCTTGATCAGACAGAGAAGCAACGGTATGCTGAGGAAAGCCTTCATAGAAAAAATGTATTACTTCCTTTTTCCAAGCAAATAACAAAATTCTAGGACCAGAAACTAAAAATGTTCCTACCACAAAGCCCACAAAGTTGGAGATTAAGCAGGAGATTCTTCTTATATTTAAAAAGTTGTATCTTTTTAAGTATAAATGTAATGAATGATTATAAAATTTTTAGAAAATAAAGGAAAACAAAAAAATTTTTACATGATACAAAATCCATCATTCTGTCTCCTGAAAAAAATCACATTGAGCAATTTGATGTAACTTCCTACAACCTTCTGTGTCTTTTCAATTTGTATTACACAGCTTTGATCAAACAGTACTGAGTAATACAAGTTTTGTAGCTTATTTGTTAAATTTCCTAGTATAAGGATTTTTCTATAAATACAGTGTCTTTAAACCTTTCTCGCTGTAACAATAAAAACCAGTAGTGTTCTCTGAGTGATAGGACTACAAATGGTTTTAATTTTCCTTTTATATCTCTGTATTTTCCAAAATTGCTTCACCAGCATAATTTTCTCTAACTATAAAACATATGAGTTTAAAAAATCTTAAATGTTAAAATAACTTGTGCAAATGAAAATAGAAAGTCTAGTTTAACCCAAAAATATATATATGTTAAATGTCTATTTTAAAATAAACACTTACCCATACGAATCAGTGAGCACTCAGAACTTGAGCTAGCAGGAGGAGGACTAACATGATGTGTTAGCAATTCTTTGTAATGGCTTTCATCTAAAATAACATGGTATGTGCCTAACAAGATAAAAAGCAAAATAAAATAAAATCTGCTTTCCAGAGAGAATAATGAATTATATAATTTCTATGTATTTCTATAAAAACATTTAATTATCATTTTTCAAAAATCTTATTTAAATAATATCTTTACTTGTCTTCTCTAGGAATAATTATAATTACAATTTAATTAAAGCCAAGTTATAAGATCTTTACAAAGTATTACATCTAATGAAATTTCTAGCTTTTCAAGAGTATACTGCCTCTGCACACTGACATAATTTCTGAAAATTCCTTGCATTTTGAGACATCAACAGAAGCAATGATATATTTAAGATGACTACCCATATTTTGGACTTCAGGACATGAACTGTTTAATTAAAGCTTAAAAACAGGCTAAAACACCCAATTTAATTAATAGCTTGTTACTTCTTACATAGCAATTATGAGTAAATATTGAAGATTCTAGATATATACCACCAGTTTCACGAGCAAGTACAGTGCAAACCCGAACTTCTGCAGACAATCCAATAACAGACACTCTAATTTTAGCTGTCTTTAGGGTCTTCATAAAATCCAAGGAAATGGATGGTTTGGGGGGAAGAAAAAAAGAGCATTAAACAATTAGTGTTTGAAAAATAAACAGAATGCTCTGAAAACTTGTAAAACTTACAAGAATTAATTTACAGATTACAAAATCTATGTATATAGAAGCCTAAGCGACTGGCCAACCAGCCAACTGTTTGACCGGCTGACCGATAGCTATGATGCGCACAGACCACCAGGGGCAGATGTTCAACACAAGAGTGGAAACCACTACAGAATTTCTTTAGAGTTGTAATTTCGGTTGTGATTATAAAATTATTGTATCTACCTTGATTAGGTCATAGATATTAGATGGATCACAAGTTGTGAGGCTGCTAAAGATGATTAGGACTTCTCTACTTGTATGCCCAGGCATGTGTCTAAAGAAAGACAAAATACAATCCAATTAGGTACAACAAATTACAATAATATAGTTTATCCAAAAAGGACAGTATACATGGTTTATAAATTTAGACTACAGAATATTTCATTTGTTTCAACACTGCAAAGAAAGGAATTGAAAATTCTTGTAAGTTTTAGGGATAGAGAGATAAACAAGACTGACAAAGGTTCTTGACATCATTAATCTTACATTCCAGTAGATTTGTTTCATACGAAATCTAAAGGGTAAATTGGAAAGTACAATAATACCATATGGGTCAATTTTAGGATGTATACATGTGGCGTGACAACAGTAATGTACTTCTTTTTTAAAGTTCAGGGTGATTCAGAGTCATAATAAGCATAAACATTAATTTTTGTGTACCATTTATTGATTTATTTTTATTTATTTATTTTTTTTACAGAGAGTAAAGGAGAGAGATAGTTAGAAACATTGATCAGCTGCCTCCTGCACACCTCCCACTGGGGATGTGCTGGCAACCAAGGTACATGTCCCTGACTGGAATTGAACTTGGGACCTTTCAGTCTGCAGGCTGACGCTCTATCCACTGAGCCAAACCGGTTAGGGCCTTGTGTACCGTTTAATTAAATGATAGCTTATGGACTTTTAAGATGTGATAAGCAGTTATCCTCTATACTAAATAGAGATTTCTACGCTTTTAGGAGCAATTTTATCAGTTATTTATAGCCAACCTGCTTATATCTTCCTTATTAGGCTCTTAGCTTTCACTTGTGGAGGTTGCTATGGTGCCTACCTTTATTACACATATTACCTTCTCATCTACTTTGAAACTAGAAAAATATCTATTATATAAAGGTATAAAAACCTGAGTCAGGACAGATTAGCCAGGGACAAAATATATGAGCTTTAACTATACTGAATACTTCCTCTTGGGTCTAAGTTATATTCCATATAGTTGAACTTGTTGGAAAAGAGTGCTATTAATTTACAGATTACAAAATCTATGTATATAAAAGCCTAAGTGACTGGCCAACCAGCCAACTGTTTGACCGGCCGACCGATAGCTATGATGCGCACTGACCACCAGGGGCAGATGTTCAACACAAAAGTGTAAACCACAGGCATGGACACATGGAACAGACTGATGAATCTCAGAGGGAAGGGGGGAGGGAGGAGGGCAAGGATAGATTAACCAAAGATCTTATATGCATACTAGAGGCCCGGTGCATGGATTTGTGCACCGGTGGGGTCTCTCGGCCTGGCCTGTGCCCTCTAGCAATCCGGGAACCCTCAGGGGATGTCGGAGAGCCAGTTTTGGCCTGATCCCCACAGGCCAATCCAAGGGACCCCACTGGTGCACAAATCCATGCACCGGGCCTCTAGTAAGCTAATAAAAGGTAATAAATATACAATAAACTCAAATTATTATACCACATTAAATTCCATATACAATGAATTTTCAATAAAATAATTTTTCAACAAAACATTTCTTTTGTAATACTAACGCTGCTACAATTTTAATTATATTTTTCTAAAACCTCACCAATTAAAATATAAAATAAAAATTAACACCACACTAAACATCATAAATGACATTACATATTTCTCTTAATAATGATTTCATTATAGCTGGGTTTATAGAGATACATATTAACATATTATCCTTTCAGCAACTTATTCAAAACACTTTGAGATCAAATATGTAATAAATATAAAACACTAACTTTAGAGTTTGCATAGCCATGTTTAAGGAGTTATAAAGAGATGGCTCTCCATGGCAGGTCATATCTACAGCTTTCTTCAAAGATGTTATGTGTTTTCTAGGGTTTCCTAAAATAGAAATGGAATAATTTACTTTTATTTATTTTAAATTTTATTTATTTTAGTTACAGTTTACATTCAATATCATTTTACATTAGTTTCAGGTGCACAGCATGGTTGTTAGACAATCATATACTTTACAAAGTGTATCCCTTGTTAATTTACTTTTAATAAAACTCTATTTATACATTATAGAATTTGTCTCTCCCAAAATTTACATATTTATGTTAAAGAACAGAATCCTTTCAATTTATGTCTTTAGTAACTTGCATTTTTATGAGAGATGTTTGTTATATAAAGTCTCACTTCACACTAAAAAAATATAGTAAGTCCACACTAACGTTGTCAATAGGTTCTAAAACTTTAAACGAAACAACGTAAAACAAGACCGATTTTACTAATTGATATAAACAAGAGTTAAGCTCCTACAGCATCTCATCACTGCTATAATGAAATGATGCTGAACTTGATGTTATTCAAGGATCTGCTGTACTAATCGCTTTTTACCTATTAGCACACATTTTAAATAATATTAACCTAGAGTGCATAACTTTTTACTTTTACTATTTCCCTATTTCATCACTTTTAAGACTAACATATGTTCACATTTTACTATCTCTGAAATCATGCTGTGTCTTACCATCACTGGCAGCCACACAGCATGTGGAAACCTATGAATGGCTATCGATGTGCTGTTGCTTCAAGTGCATTATGTACATTGTTTGTGCTATTCACATCAAGTTTAACTGTGATTTAAAGTGTTTTTTAGAAAGGTTATTAATACAAAAGGTTAAATCTTTATGTAGAAAGACATGGCACAGAGCAGTGAGGTGTAAACTTGTACTAGTCAAGCAAAAATTCATTGATAGAAGAATGTCTGCAATTCTACATTTTTCTTCAGGGGAAAACCCCAAGAGCTTTAAAAAACCTAAGGAGGATTTCCACAAATATACAAAGCTGTGTTATCTTCTGTTATAGAAATAATATCTATGAAAAAATTCTCCATCTCAAGCCAAGTTATACAAATGAAGGGAGGACAAACTGCCAAATTCTTTAGAATGGTTGATCAACACATTACATCATTAAGAAGCTGATATGAACAAGTCACGTATCACTGATCTTGTGTCAAAGTTTAATTGCTAGTGTTTCCTTCTTTTTTTTAAATCCTCACCAGAGGACATGCTTAGAGAGAGGAAAGGAGAGAGAGAGAAAGAGGGAAACACTGATGTGAGAGAGAAACATCAATCAGTTGCCTTCCTTACATGCCCTCACTGGAGACCAAACCCACAACCCAAGTATATGCCCTGACCAGGAATTGAACTGGCAACCTTTCAGTGCACAGGATGACACTCAAACAATGGAGCCACTCCAGCTGGGCAATATTTTCTTCTTGATGATATCTCAAAAATTATGAAATTTGAGATTCAATGAAATATAGTATTTTTCAGACATTTTCTCCTATTTTAACAGTCTTCATATTAAGTAATGATAATCAAAACTCACCACGTGGCCACTGTGGCTCAGTGATTGAGCATCGACCTATGAACCAGGAGGTCATGGTTCGATTCCTGGTCAGGCAGGGCACATGCCTGGGTTGCGTGTTCGATCCCCAGTGTGGGGCATGCAGGAGGCTACTGATCAATGATTCTCTCTCATCATTGATGTTTCTATCTCGCCCTCTCTCTTCCTCTCTGAAATCAATAAAAATATACTTTAAATAAATAAATAAATAAATAAATAAAAGTTTGTCTTAGCCCTGGAACATACCCAGGTTGCAGGTTCAATCTCTGGTGGGGAAACAACCAGTAAAGTCTCTTTCTCTCTCTCTCTCAAACCAATTAAAAAAAATATATCCTTAGGTAAGGATTAAAAAAATAAAGATACACACACACAATAAAAACAGTTCATCTTTGATACCAAATTTAATAGAGAACATACAGGAAGGCCTAATTTTACTTACTAGGCAACCTTTTGGATAGGGTTTCAAGGCTGAGTAAATAAAGCCAAGTCCTTGAGTCCTATAAAGGTAATTTAATGCATACCTGAGAGTTCTGTCAGTTTTTCAGCTCTTTTACTCTTTGTCACAATAATTCCAATCTAAAAATAAAAACAAAAAGAATTCTTAATTTAACAAATTACTTCTTGGTAAGAATGTACATTAACATAAATTAGTGTTTACAAAAGGAATAAGTAACATGTGAGAAACCTTTTTTCATGATGCTTTAGACATAAATTTAGCTATGAGTTCACTGTACATAATTTAACTTTTAGAGTTATCTTGTTTTTCATTGACAAATGTACTAAAAACTGGTACACAGTCTGAATCACTTAATAATTCATAGAACAGATGCCCAATGTTTTAAAAATAAATTCTATTTGGCAGTAATATCAGGAATCTAATTCTGAATTCCATCACTTACTTACATACCTGACTAATAGGATTTTGATCAAAATATTCCTCTACGAAGTATTCCAACAACTGTTCAAATAAAACAAAAGGAAATACCAGGTAAGAGCAAAATAACAACCATAGGGAACATATTTTGGGAAACCTATTTATCAAGCATGATTTTTAAGTTATTAGATTTTCAAAAATGTTCAGTAACAAAAATATTACATAAAAAATGATAAAATTTAGCTCTGGCCGGTGACTCAGTTGGTTAGAGCATTGTCCCATACTCCAAATACAGGTTCAATCCCTGGCTTGGGCACACGCGTAGGGGAGACAACCGATTGATGTTTCTTTCTCACATCTATGTCTTTCTCTCTCTCTTTCCCTCCCTTCCTTTCTCTCTAAAATCAATACAAATATATCCTCGGGTGAGGATTAAGTAAATAAAACGTCTGAACTTTTTTCTCTGGAGTTTTTTAATTAATATTTTCAGACTGTGGTTGACCATGGTAACTGAAACTGAGGATAAGGGGGCGGGGGGGACGGGACTACTATAATTAGCTCTTTTGGTGTATCATTTTCTAAATGATCTGGTAGCACTTCTACTTAGCTATAGTTTGTATTAACTCAAAAGAAAAAGAAAAAAGAAGATTGTATGTAAAAAATTTTCTTTTACCTTTAAAGTACATGTCAGTCTATTCGGCTTTAAATCTTGGTCTTCCATTGTTCTTGACCCATCTACTACCACATAAAGATGGCGCATCTACAAAAAAAATACAAAGAAGGACAGTTTTCAAATACTTTTTTGACCAAGAAGTAAAAATGGCATTTAGTACTCACATAGTCTATATATTTTTTTAATATGTTGTTTTAAAAGGTTTGTTTATTCTATCAAGGCAGAATGCTTCTTAACCCCAAAATAGTTCTGTACCAGTAAAAGAAAAAATAACATACCATTCCAAGTCGAACTTGTCCATGGTGCTCAAATACTCTGTTAAAATTATGCAAACATTTTAATGGACTATCTATCATATACTGCCCCCCAAAATCAATACAATGCTTCAACTAGCCTGCATTTATTTAGTAAATTATTAACTTACGGGAGCCACATAATTATAGGCATTCTGGATAGTCCCTAAAGACCCATTTCCCTGCTCAAGTACTAGGTTCCTGGTTCCTTCCCCCTGTTTAGGTTACAGGTCAAATTCCTTGAAACACTGGTGAAATTAAGTACTGAGGAGTGGGTATAGGTGCACAGAGAAGCTTAAAGAAATATATTTTAGCTTTTGTAACATACCTACAAAAAAGTTTACATACCTTTTTCTCTTTGCTTTGAAGAGAATGTCTTCTATTGTAGCTTTCAGTGATCCTGACTCATCTTCTTTAAGAATCTCCCTATAAGCAGTAATTACTTGTTTAGAAAGATAAGCTAAAAATGTATTAACCCAATAGAAATGAAAACATATGTCCATATAAAGATCTGTATGTAAATGTTCACTGGTGCATTATTCATAACAGCCAAAAACTGTAAGAAATCTAAATGTCTATCGACTGATGAACGGATGAGTAAAAATATGGTTTAACAACAGAATAGAATATTATTCTCCAATAAAAAAAGAATGAGTTATTGATATATGCTACATGAATGAACCTTGAAAATAGCATTTAAAAAAATTGATTTTAGAGAGAGAGGGGAAGAAAGGGAGGGAGGAAGGGAAGGAGGAAGGAAGAGAAAGAGGGAAGGGAAGAAGGGAAGGAGAATGAGAGGGAAGAAGGAAGAGGTAGAGAAACATTTATTTGTTGTTCCACTTATTTATGCATTCATTGGTTGCTTCTTATTTGTGCCCTTACCCAAGAACAAACCTGCAACCTTGCCCTGGCTGGTGTATTCAGTGGTTAGAGCATTGATCCATACACTGAAGGGTCAAGGGGTGCATTCCCTGTCAAAGGGCACGTACCTGGGTTGCAGGATCAATCCCAGGCCCTGGTCAGGGCATGTGCAGGAGGCAATCAATCGATGTATCTCTCTCTCTCTCTCTCTCTCTCTCCCTCCCATTCTCTCTAAAAAAAAATCACTGGGAAAAAAACTATCTTCGGATTAACAAAATCAAACAAACAAACAACAATAAAACCTGCAACCTTGCCCTGGCCAGTTTGAAGGATCCCAGGTTCGATTCTTGTCAAGGGCATGTACCTTGGTTGCGGGCACATCGCCAGAAGGGGGCGTGCAGGAGGCAGCTGATCAATGTTTCTCTCTCATAGATGTTTCTAACTCTCTATCCCTCTCCCTTCCTCTCTGTAAAATATCAATAAAATATATTTTAAAAAAAACAAAAACAAAAACAAAACCTGCAACCTTGGCATATCAGGACAACACTCTCACAACCTGAACTACTGGGCTAGTGGGAAAAACAGTATGTTAAGTGAAAGGAAGCCAGACACAAATGACCACCTATTATATTATTACATTTACATGAAATGTCCAGAAAGGGCAATCTATAGAGACAGAACGTAGATTAGTGGTTGGCTAGGGCTAGAGGTATAAATTGAATTAATTGTAAGTGGGCAGGAGGGATCTTACTGGGGTGCTTTTAAAAATGTTCTAGGACCTGACAGGTAGCTCAGTTGGTTGGAGCGTTATCCCAGTGTAACTAGGTTGCATTCGATCCCCAGTCAGGGCCTATACAAGAAGCAACTAATGAATGCACAAATGAGTGGAGAAAAATTTGTGTCTCTCTCTCTAAAAATTTTTTAATGTTCTGAAACTGATTTGTGGTGATGAATGCACAACTGAACAAATTTTCTAAAAATCACTCAGTTACACACTGGAAACAGCTTAATTTTAACATTTGTAAAATATACTTTAATTAAGTTGTAAAAAAATGTCTAAAAGATGCCTGGCTGGTGTGGCTCAGCAGTTGAGAGTCAACCCAGGAACTAAGAAGTCGCCAGCTCGATTCCCAGTCAAGGCACATGCCCGGGTTGTGGGCTCGATCCCAGTGGGTGCTGTGTAGGAGGAAGTCAATCAATGACTTCCTCTCTCATCGATGTTTCTATCTCTCTATCCCTCTCCCCTCCTCTCTCTCTAAAAATCAATAAAAATATACTTTTAAAAAATGTCTAAAAAGAGAGACATTATAATAATGCTCTACTCACCATGTTCTTTCATAGCCTCCTTCCCATCGCTTAGTTCTTTCAGGTTCTTCATCCATTTTTTCTTAAATGTATTATATTATTCAATATCCTATAAAAATCATTACATTGTAAATTTCCTAAAAGTATTTGTTTTGTTGTTGAATGACATTTTTTTTAGATTTTTTTCCGTTTATTAAGGTATTACAAATGTGTCCTTATCTCCCCAATATCCCCCCATCCCCAACTCATGCCCTCACCCCCGCCCCCTGTGTCTGTATCCATTGGTTATGCTTATATGCATGCATACAAGTCCTTTGGTTGAATGACATTTTTTATACAATTAAATTTGAAAAGTAAAGAGGGGGAAGTAAACATACCAAGTAAAAAAAAAAATCAGAATGCAAGGTCATCTTATATTCTCTGAAATTTAGTCAATAATTGTTGGGTGAAAAAAATTTACAAAATCCTCATGGAACTTTTCCCATCCCCAAGAAAGACTGAAAATATTTACACACAAATTTGGCACCAATAAAAGTATCTTTTATAATTTTTTAAAAAACAAAAATGCATTACAGATGTGTCATAGGACAGAACCATGGATTATGAGAAGTGAGTAGGGGTGTAGATAAAGCAAGATGAGCGACAATTAATGATTATTATAGCTGAGTGATGGATGTGGTGATTTATTGTACTACCCCTCCATCTCTGTGTATATGTGAATTGTTTCATAATCAAATTTTTAAATGAAATTTATTATTTATAAATGATAAATGCTTATGGCTCATAATTCAAAAAATGACACACTATTAAACCTACACAGATATCTACTATTAAAAGGAAAACAATTTAGTAATTCAATAAATAGGTTTCATCTGTATGACTGGATTAAGGGTGATTGGTTTTTTTTTGTTTCTTTATTCATTTCTGTATTTTCAATACGAACCTTCATTTCTTGAATAATCAAGGACAAAACAGGTAGTAGGGGGAACCTATTAACCATAACCAAGTAATAAACATCCCATCACATCCACACCTCCACCCTCTCCAATGAAATATCCCTGCCTACCCCACACTCTCATTCTCAGCTTTCTTGGTGCATAAATGAAGGCTCAAAGGAATCCTAAGTGCCAAGACATTAAGGACAAAACAAATCCCCTCGCTGGCAGAGTCAAAGATAAATCTTTATGATGAGGACCAAAACCAAGACCTTACCCTCCTTTTATATTATTGTTTCTAAAACAGACATTTAAGGATCTGAAGAACTGACCTATAAATGGACTTCTGGAATTAAAATCTATTGACAAGTTGTACACGGTGTTTATGGCAACACTGTTTCCTGTGGCACCTGTAATAATTAGGTATTATTTACTAAAGCTCCAAGTCTCTCACTGAATCAAACACTCCACAGCACGGAAAGAGACTCTTTTGCTGCAGGAAATCTGGCGATCCACTTTAACATCTTGAAGTAGAGAAGTGACCTAATTCTAACTTCTGTACTGTTTCGACAACTATGTTGATGCCCTTGTAGGTTTAATGATGTGTAGTAACGTAACATACAGTGAATACATTGAACATTTTGATTCTCCAAGCAAGTGTTTTCAACGTTTTTAAACTCCAATTCTTTAAAAAGTGGCTCCTTGCATCCATCACATCAAGATGTATTTTACTTTTGTTACTGAATTCCCTGAAAGCTCAGACACAAGGTGAGTAGGCACTGCAGGTGGGTACACTCGCGGCTCACTGCAGACAAGCACGTTTGTTTTCGTTAGAGCTGCGCGCGACGGGAAATTGCGGGCACAGGACCGGTGTGAATGAAGCTCCCCGTGACTGAAGGCGCTGGAAGGGAAGCTGGATGCTTACAACGCATCCTGGAGAAAGATGCACTTGGTGACCCCTCAGGTCGGTCCTGGAACTAACTTCCTAATAGCCCATCTTCTCAAAATATCACTAATCTGTTTCCTGGGAACCCAAGCCCAGAAAAGCCCGCGTAAGCCTGTTGGCGTGCTTCCTGTCACAGGAGCTCAGACCGCTACCTGCCAACAACTGCGACCTGCACCGACGCCCACGCCAGGAAGCTGGTCCGCAGACCTGATCCCAGCAAGCGCTGTGAGGCAGGCTCGGGTGACCACTGTCCTGTTTTCAGGTGCGGAACTCGAGGATCGATGATTCGTCACTCCCTCGAGGCCACCTGGCTGGAGGCAGGTCGAAAACTCGAACCCAGGGTCCCAATTCCCAAAGCTCGCGCTCTGCGGTAGGGACATTCCCCAGATGTTCCCCCGCAGCTCCCACACGGAAACGGCCCTCCTCTTCCGCACGCTCCCTCACACCCTCATTCCCCATGACGCCGGTCAGGCCATTCAGCCTCCGGCCCGGGGAGTGAAGGCCCTTCGCGCCGCCAGCCGCCCCAGGCAGCCGGCCCACGCTCTCCGCTCTGCGCGGGCCTCCACCCGCGGACTCACCGGTCCGGCCCCACGCCGCTCTGCCCGGAAGCCGCTCTGCCCGGAAGCACCGCCCAACCCGCTCTAAGGGCGCCCCCGAAGTCCTTCCGCCGCACGCGGAGGCGTGGCAGAAACGTTCCGACCGCTTCAAGTGGAGGTGGTGGGAGCCCGGCGTTCCCGGGCCGCGGCTTCTCGCAGCTGATTTCGAGTGCGGGGAGGGAGCTACTGTCCCCGCTTCCAGCTAAGGAAGAGGCGACAGAAGCATCATCCCGTCTTGGAAGGTTGGAGTCCCGGTAGCCATCGATCCGGGAACTGAGGAGCATGACTTTGCTTATTTCTAAGGGTTGACATGCAGAGCGGCAGCAGCTAAACAGGACCTTGCTGTGCAAGTTTTCAGGGACGCCTCTGCTGCTCCCGGTGTTCATGTAAGGAATGTTTTATTGAACACTAACTTGGGGCCTGAGACAGTTCTCACCACTGAGAACACAGCAATGAAAAACAGACCGAAAACCTTGGCTTCCTGGGGTTTCCTTCTATGGAGACAGTTGTCAAGAAAAACAGACTCGATGAAATGGTGATAGTGGCATCGAGTAAAATGAAGCATGAAAGGAGGAATGGGCGGCTGTGTTAAATCGCGTGGTCAGAGGAATTCGCACCAGGACAGTTGAGCCGCCATCAGAATGAGAGAGGGAGTTGACCATGCTGATATTAGGGACGATCTCTCCAGGTAAAGGGAGATGCGAGCGCAAAGGTGGAAGAACATTGGCGGGTTTGAGGGACTACGTGAGCGGGGGTGGGGGGGATGGTGGCCACAGAAATCAGAGGGTGGGTGGCTGTGGGCATCGTGAGAACTTCGGAGGGAGGATGGTGGCTTGAACTAGTGTAGGAGGGCAGTGCAGGGAGTGAGAAGCGGTTGGATTCACAATCTTGTCGATAGATTGGGTGTGTATTATGAGCAAGGAACCAGTGATTCCAAACTTTTTTAGTTGAGCAACTGAAAGGTTGGAGTTGCAATTACTGAGAGGGTAGGGGATGGGTAAGATCCGTTGTTTTGGAAAAGTTGTTGGAGATGCCTGCTAGTACATATGGAATTAAGTACTAGCATTTCCCACGCTCGAGTAATGGAGAGGCAAAGCAACCCCAGAATATTTTTTAAAAGGTTAGGCCCAGGAGAGGAAGAGCAGAAAGGAACTACAGGGTCTGGAGCTGCTTTACTTCCCCTTCGTTACAGGTATTGCTTTATTGGCACCAACATTATTTCCCCATGTGTTCTACTCCCTCAAAAACAAACAGAAGCCATCCTGCGTAGTAGTGGAATGAACAGACCTGGCATTAATATCAGGCTCCGCCTGACTAGCTGGGTGACCTCAAGCAAGTCACCTATAAAATGGGGATACCTCCACCTACTCTACAGGTTTTATACATCACTAGTGGCAACTCCGTAACCAGAAGATGAGGTCTTATTGTCTTTAAAAGGGCGAGGGGAAATCGGTGTTGATGATTTTTCCCAAAGTGCCAGTCACCTTCCATCTTTGCCTCCCTCACATCTTTGACTCCTCTACAGGACTCACACACCACACTTTTCCCTCTCCCTTCCTCCCATCCTCCCTCCCTTCTCTCTATAAACGCCATGCTTTCTTCTTTTTCTTTTCTTCCCTTCCATTCTGCTGGACCATCCTATTCCAAGATGGGATGCATTCCTAACAGCCACAATCCCAAGCTCCAAGTGTCTCACTTAGGTTTACCACCCTAGAAACTTTCTAATGGAAAATCGGAGAAAAACAGGGCTCTCCAATAAATTTAAGTTAAAGCATATTCGTGGAGAGAAGCCTGAATCATTTAGACTTGTAGCAACTATAAAGTTTACTCTCCTCTATATAGATTGTAGTTTTAGACCGTGAATCAAGTAGGAATGGTACTAAAGCAAAGCTAACCGAAATATGCATCAATCCATAATCCCTTGCCATAATTATGACACAATATTCTAATCGTGTACCAAGTAGTATAATAAATGCTCTCACCTAGCCAAATGTTCCGACTTGTAAAACTAAGGGACAGCTATAAAGAATGGAACAGTTTGTTCTTTGCCCGTCGGTGGTTGGACACGATCCACAGTGAGGAAATTCATGAACAGCTCAGCCAGTGGAATCAAGCCGATATTCAAAGTGTGCAACCTCAAAGACTGGGAGAGGTGAACCTGCCTATTCCAGTACCTTTAGATGGAACTTAAATTATTCAAGAGACTCATTAAACACCTCCAGAATTTCTTATAACAGTACCTAATAATCCTTATCTTGATATGTAAACTCTATTCTTTTAAACATTTGTTCATCATTTATGAATAGTCACAGTGCCAAGCCTAATACAATTCGGAATTTAACCTGCACCCAACACAGAAGTACATAGGGGATTGGGATAATACATAAACTTTTAAGACACAATTTGCTTTTTAAAAAGTCGTTTCAAATTTCACCTTCCAGCTTTGGGAAATAGATGTAACTGGCCATATTTTTTATTTACTTCCTGACAAGGACTGGTCTAAGTTATACATTAACTACCTTCATTTAACTAGATTAGGTACAGATATCTTTCAAATAAGCAAAATGAGACACAGGAAGGCTAAGTAATTTGCCCAAAGTCACACATAAACACAGTAATTGCTGGAGGGCAAAGCAAGACCACTTGCAGGAAAGAGCAAGCAGGTTCTTTGGCAGTAACTAAAGATGTTTTGGGAACACCCTTCCACAGTGTGTGTGCGTGCACCGCCGCACTCCCCACCCCCACCCGGCTTACATAGTTCTGTGTGCATGTTCTTTTTCTAACTCCAAAGTGGCATTAATTTTAACACAGTGTTTTCCAAAAACTACACGATACTTGGACATTTTATTCATGAAAACTAGTCCCTTTAGGTCACATTGGTTCTCAACCTGTGGGTCACAACCCCTTTGGCAGTCGAACGACCCTTTCACAGGGATCGCCTAAGACCATCCTGCATATCAGATATTTACATTACGATTCATAACAGTAGCAACATTACAGTTATGAGGTAGCAACGAAAATAATTTTATGGTTGGGTCACAACATGAGGAACTGTATTTAAAGGGCCAGAAGGTTGAGAACCACTGCTTTAGGAGAAATGTTAACAATATGAAACACAGGAGGGATGAGATCACCTTCCATCTAATTTATTTGTGCTGTCATACAAGAAGAGTTATATGGTGAGTGTAAGCAGAACCATGAGCTGCCAGGAGATTGAGTTTGAATTCTTATTTCTATGGCTGAGCCTTTAAAATGTCCAGTTGAGATACTTCCAATCCCAATGCTGAAAAAGGACGAGTGTGTTTATGTTAGGGAACTCCCCCACCCGCTCCCCAGCCAACTGAATCTAAGATCCCTGCAACCATGACTAAAGAATTCTTCTGCCCTGACCCTTTATACATGCATGCCCCCCATTCAGGTCGTTATAAAAACCTCAGATATTTATATGAAAACATTTCACATTATTATAAGTACTTAAAATGCACTCAAAATTAAAAAGGACAGAGCAACTCCACCTTATCCAACCCATTAATTCATTAAGAAAATCAAGCTAGAGTGGGAGTATAGAACCTCATAATCAAAGATTCCTAGTTTAGTCACTTGATAGAATGTGACAATGGACCAGTGAATCCATCAGACCATTACTTTACTGTAAAATGAGAAATGGTTGCAAGTCGATAGAACTGTTGTAAGAAATTAAATATTTTGTGTATGTATGCGTGTATATAGAATGTAACTTTTACTATAAATACTAAGAGTTAAATTTATTTCAAAAAATACAAAGCATATGTGACAAAACTAACACCTTTTATTTCTGGGTGGTGGGTACAGGTATGTTTATAGTTTTCAATATTTCTTTAAATTTTTCAAAATAAATAAAAATGTTGATGTCATCTAGTTTTAATACAAAACACACATGTAAGAAAATCTTATGCAGTGAACCTTTATCAAATAGACCACATGCTTTCACAACAAGACCTTGAACAAATATATGCAGACATAAGAATCACAGGTCAGAGATGGAAGAGACCTCAGAAATCAAATCTAAACCTCTTGCTTTCCAGACTAGGAAACTGCTTGAGTGGCTTTTCAAAGTTATAGCCAGCTAATTAATGTCAATCCCATCAGAAACGCCCTGATCCTGGCTCCTGAAGTGGTCTGTAGTAAGTACCACATTTGCAAAATGATTTTGTTTTTGTATTTCAAAGTCCAATTTTATGGCACAATTTTACAACGCAAACTTATGCTATTTGATTTTCTGTGTTCAGCTGAATTGGTTTTGTCAGAACACTGGCAAGCTTGCCTTCATAAATTAATTACATTGACTTCCAAGCACAAAATTTTAGCACATGTAAAAATCAGTTAAGTGGCTCAAGAGAGTCCTTACCATTTGATGTGAGCCCAACAGGTATGAAAAGCATAGACTATTATCTTTACTCATATATGTAAAGCACCTGGAAAATTAAGAATTTCTTCAATTTGAAGAAATGAATCAGTGTTATAATGGAAACATTACTTAAAAGTTTATTTTAGGACCCTGGCAGGAGAGTCAGTTGGTTAGAGCGTTGTCCCAATATGTGAAGGTTGTGGGTTTGACCCAGGTCAGGGCACAAACAAGAAGCAACCAATGAATGCATGAATGGATGGAGCAACGAGTTGATGTTTCTCTCTCTCTAAAAATCAATAATAAAAAAAGTTTATCTTTGGAAAATGATTCAGACTGGTATTTAAAAAATGACATACTTGTAGATGAAAAAGGGGCTCTGTAATAAATCTGGAAAGTCCAAGGCTGATCATAAATTCCTGTGCTGATTCTGGTGGGTAGTCACACCCCAGGCATATAACTTCTTCAGTAAAAGGTTTATCTTTGCCTTACGTAAGCCCTGTCCATTGTTCTTGTGCTTCTTGGTTAACACACCTTTAAAATACCAGGGTATTCCTCTTTTTCAGACTCCTCTGAGGCATAACCACCTTCAAGAGAGCACATCATTTTTCTTGTAATACAATCCCTACCTTGCTTTCTCCGACCTTCATGTAATCTTCCTTATTTCCAAATATACAAATGAAACTGCAAACCTGTAATTCTTGGAGCATTTGAGCTTGCTTCCTGCCATGTTGTCAAAACATTTGGCTCAAATAAACTCCTTTAAAAATCGCATATATGCATAGCCCATGGACATGAACAGTAATTTGGTAAAGGCCAAGGAAGGGAGAGGCCGGGGAGGGTGGCGGTGGGCAAAGGGTGGGAAGGGGGACTCCTGCAATAGTGTCATTAAAAATTTTTAAGTAAATCTCTACAGGTACGTTGACATACTTAAATGTTTGAATTGCAGACTAATGATTAATTTACGCAGGGGTCCTCAAACTACGGCCCGCGGGCCACATGCAAATACAAATATTGTATTTGTTCCCGTTTTGTTTTTTTACTTCAAAATAAGATATGTGCAGTGTGCACAGGAATATGTTCATAGTTTTTTTTTAAACTATAGTCCGGCCCTCCAACTGTCTGAGGGAGTGAACTGGCCCCCTGTTTAAAAAGTTTGAGGACCCCTGATTTACAGATTCTTCAAAATATTTCCACAAAAACAGAGTTCTAAATTGGGGGAATAATTACAATCAACTTGGCTAGTGACATGCCCAGTATTATCAGCTAGTTTTACTTTACTAATAAAAATCTGAATGAAAAGAAAGTGCTGAGATTTAAGGGCAGACGAATCGGCTTCCTTATTAACAGATTGGGAAACAAGCAACCAGCATAACACCCAAAAGAGTTTAAAACAGTAACAGATATAATTACTGAGTGTAGTTTTGCAAAGCTTAAAATTAACAGCACTAATGACATCAAACAGGTATATTATAGAAAGAAAACACCTGGTTTAATACCTTATAAAATATGTACAGAACTTGAACATTCCTGTAAGATACATTTCAAGTCACAACTGAATTATAAATGTAATCAGGTACTCTAATATAATGAAAGCGCCTAGTTGGTTAAAGAAAAAAAAAAAGCATGTAAACCATAAAAGATTACGAAGTATTTTAAAATACACAATAAAATTCTAGCTAGTGGTTTTAAATTTTGATTTTTAAAAAGTAAATACATATTTACAATCTTTAAATTTCACAATGTGTTACTTTTGTATGGTCTTTATTACCAAGATAACATAAAACAATAAAAAGCTCTTTTAACCATTTACACACAGAAAAAAAAATCGGTAGGAAAGTTGGTAGAATGTAATATCCGTAGTAGCTACAATATGAATGGTTAGGGACTTCATTAATGGAGTCATAAAACAGACTTAACCAAAACTGCAAGCTAGGAAACAAGTGGTTTCACTTCACTGCAGAGACCCAGTTTCCTTCTCTGAAAAGGAACCATTATAAATAACAGTTACATGAAGGGAGGATTCTGGGAGGATTCAATGAGATTACCTATTGGAACTAATAAAGCACTAAGACATGACTGCCTAGGGCGTGAAAGTTCACAGCACAGTACACTCAGCAACCTTCCTGAAAAGGTTTAAAAACTTCAAACAACAGTTCTTAATATCAGAACCAGTGTTTACAGCATAAATCCTTAATTGGAGTGTTCAGCACAGTTGATTATCAAAAGCTATTTATAAAATGCTTCAATACCAATGATATGAAAGCTACCAAAACTCTGTAATGATCACAAAGGTTTGGCCTCTCTGGTTAGAGTCCAAAGTCATTTTGCATGCTGACACCACTGCCGAGATGTCGGATTCTTCTCCATCACTCAGACAATCTGGAATTTGCTTTCCGTTTTCCCTCGGTCATAATCTCCAACCATCCTCTTGATGTGGGACAACTTACTCTTCAACTGCTTGCAATAATTCCTCTTATTTTTGTAATTTGCAGACTAAAAAGGAAAAAAAATGAATCAGGTAAATTTAACAAAATAAAAATGAGTTATGTGCAGCTGCTGGGAAGGCAGAGATCAATCAAAAAAGGGGACTATTAGTCATCAGAATTGTTGGGAGTGTTAAATGATGTAACATACATAAGGCGCCTGGCAGTATCTCAAGCCAGATAGGCAGTTGATTCTCTTTGCTGAACAAAATCTTCTAACCTGAGTTTTCAAAACGACACACGAATTTCTAATGATTTGTAAAGTGACAAAAAAAAAAAATACCTATTGGCCTTTTTGATAACATACATAGCCTAAAAATTTAGTAAAACAACAAACTAGTGATACCAGTTTGGGAAAAGGGGACTGGATTAATGATGAATGAGAAAGGAAACTTACTATACATGCTTTTAAACTCTTGCATTTAAAATCATGATGTTTTGTAATTTTTACAAGTTTAATATAAAATCTTTTAAAACAAACAAACAAAACATTTGAAGTCAAGAACAACTAGGAATGGCAAGTGCTGGTAAGGATATAGAGCAACAGAAATCTATACAACTTGGTAGGAATCTCAACTGGCCCAAACCAGGAACACTGGTTGACAGTACTGACCCAAGGCTGGGTACACACTTACCCAATGACCCTGCAACTTCACTCCTAAGTATGTACCTAACAACTGCATGCACACGTGCTTAGACACTCACAAAAATGTTTGAAGCTGCATTCATTGCAAAAGCCCTAACTTGGAAACAATCCAAATGCTCAGTAATGATAGAAGAAGTGAATAAGTTGTGTTTTCTTCACAAAATAAGTAAATGAGCCACACCACATGCCAAAACATGAATGGATCTCACACAGAACTGAGCAAAAGAAATCACACAGCCCTGGCCAGGTAGCTCAGTTGGTTAGAGCGTCATCCCTGTATGCCAAGGTTGCGGGTTCAGTCCCTGGGTCAGGGCACATACAGAAAGCAACCAATGAATGCATAAATAAATGGAACAATAAATTGATGTTTTTTTCTCTCTCTCTCTCTTTCTCTCTCTCTCTCTTTCTCTCTATCTCAAATCAATCAATAGTTTTTTAAAGAGAAATCACACATATATGGTTCCATTTATATAAAGTTCAAAACAGGCAACATTAATCTATGATGTTAGAGGTGAGAATGGTGGTTACCTCTGGAGAGAAAGCAAAAATTGGAAGAGAGTACAGGAGGGCATTCTCAGGGTTACAAGGAAATTTATTTCTTGATCTGAGTGCCAGGTACAGAGGTATGTGGTTGCTTTGTGAGAATTTACCAACTTGTACATTTATGATGTATACTTGTATGTATGTATACTTCAACCTTTAAAAAAGTTTTTAAAAATCAGTATTGGTTATAGCTGCAAACAACTTAAATTAAGGTTCCAACTTCTCAGGTATAGTTTATCTTGCAACTATTGGGCCTTCTGTGTATAATAAGTACATGCGTGACAAGGTATTCTCAAGGTTAAAGGAAAAACATGCAACAGAAAAATTATTCCTTGGAGAATCTTACAACCTGGGATACTTACCCCCTTTACTTGCTTCAGTCTATTGTATTCATCAGCAGCAGCCTATTAATGAGAAACACAAGGGAATAAGTTTAATGGGCATTTCCACGTTCAAAAATAACACTACTAATGCTATAATTTGAAGCTAAAGATGCAAAAAATACAGGAAATTAAAATAATGAAGTTTTAAAGCTCTTGAAACTGGTCAGCAGGAGGCCTGAGTTCCATTCACATAGACAGGTAACTATTTTGTTCCTCTCATCTTTCCCGATGCCAGTCCATGTGCCACGCTGACACCAGAGAGGTCTCTTATAAAGCACTGTTCTGATCAGGTTATACAGCATTATAAAACTTGTCAGAGCTCCCCATTAACCTCTCTACTGATCTAGTCTCCTACCTATCCAGTCTTAGCACCCATCATTTGCAATTCCTTTTAATTGCAAATTAAATAATTAATCATGTTAATGCTTCCAGATTTCTATCATGTTCTCCCTGAAGCTGTCTGTACTCATGCACCCATACCTTATTTTGCCCAGAGAATCTATAATGGTTACCTCTCAATGAAGCCTCTCCTAAACTCTTCAAGCCTTCAGCAGACCTAATTCCTTCTCTCAGCAGTTATTTATAGTACTTTCTACATTATAATATGAATATGACATTAGTCACATTGTCTAAGTTGTTTAGATGTCAGTTTCTCTCTTAGGATATGAATTCTTTGAGGGATGACACAGGATTTTATTTATCTTTCTAACTTCCGTACTTCTACATCAAGGGCATAATAATGATCAATACTATTCACTGAACTGATTAAAGTTTATGACAACACTATAACACCATACAAAAGCCATAAAAGAAGAGGCCAAAAAACAATACAAAAGATCAATAAAACCAAGAGCTGGTTCTTTGAAAGGATAAACAAGATTGATGAACCTCTAGCCAGGCTCACCAAAAAACAAAAGAGAGAGGACCCAAATAAACAAAATCAGAAATGCAAGAGGTGAAGTAACAACAGACCCAACAGATATACAAAGGATTGTAAAACAATACTATGAACAACTCTACTCCAATAAACTGGACAACCTAGATGAAATGGACATATTCTTAGAAAAATACAAGTTTTCAAAACTCAATCAGGAAGAATAAAAAACCTGAACAGGCCGATAACTACTGATGAAATAGAAGCAGTAATCAAAAATCTTCCAGCAGCCGAAACCGGTTTGGCTCAGTGGATAGAGCGTCGGCCTGCGGACTAAAAGGTCCCAGGTTCGATTCTGGTCAGGGGCATGTACCTTGGTTGCGGGCATATCCCCAATGGGAGATGTGCAGGAGGCAGCTGATCGATGTTTCTCTCTCATCAATGTTTCTAACTCTCTATCTCTCTCCCTTCCTCTCTGTAAAAAATCAATAAAATATATTTAAAAAAAAAATCTTCCAGCAAACAAAAGCCCTGTTCTGGACGGCTTTACAAAGGAATTTTACCAAACATGCAAAGAAGAACTAAAAAATTCAAGACTATTACAAAAAATTCAAGAGGAAGGCACACTTCCAAGCTCTTTCTATGAAGCCAGCATTACCCTAATTCCAAAACCAGATAAAGACACTACAAAGAAAGAGAATTACAGGCCAATATCCCTGATGAACACAGATGCTAAAATCCTCAACAAAATTCTAGCAAATCGGATCCAGCATTACATACGCCAGAAAGATCATATGCCATGGCCAAGTGGGATTTATCCAGGGATGCAAGGCTGGTACAATATCCGCAAATCAATAAATGCAATACATCACATAAACAAATTAAGAGACAAAAAAAATCACATAATCATATCAATTGATGCAGAAAAAGCATTTGTCAAAATCCAACACCCTTTCTTGATAAAAACCCTCAGCAAAGTGGGAATAGAGGGATCATACCTCAACATAATAAAAGCCTTATATGATAAACCTACAGCCAACATCATACTCAATGGGCAAAAACTAAAACCATATCCCCTAAGAACAGGAACAAGACAGGGATGCCTACTTTCATCACTCCTGTTTGACACAGTACTGGAAGTGCTAGCCATAGCAATCAGACAAGAAGAAGAAATAAAAGGCATCCAAATTGGAAAAGAAGTAAAAGTGTCATTATTTGCAGATGACATGATATTGTACATAGAAAACCCTAAAGACTCCATCAAAAAACTGCTAGACTTAATAAATGAATTCGGCAATGTAGCAGGATTCAAAATTAACAACCAGAAATCTATGGCTTTTTCTTTTAAATATATTTTTTTACTGATTTCAGAGAGAAAGGGAGAGGGAGAGAGAGACAAAAACATCAATGATGAGAGAGAATCACCGATTGGCTGCTCCTGCACGCCCCCCACAGGGGATCAAGCCTGCAACCCGGGCATGTGCCCCTGACCAGAATCAAACCCAGTCCACAGGCCAACGCTCTATCCACTAAGCAAAACCAGCCAGGGCTATGGCTTTTTTATACACCAATAATGAACTCACAGAAAGAGAAACTAAAACAACAATCCCATTTACCACTGCACCAAAAAAATTAAGATAACTAGGAATAAACTTAACTAAGGAGATAAAAGACCTGTACTCAGAAAACTACAGGACATTGAAAAAAGAGATAGAGGAAGACATAAACAAATGGAAGAACATACCGTGTTCATGGATTGATAGAATCAACATCATTAAAATGTCCATACTACCCAAAGCAATTTATAGATTCAATGCAATCCCTATTAAAATGTCAATGGCATATTTCACAAACCTAGAACAATGCTCCAAAAATTCATATGGAATAAAAAAAGACCATGAATACCCACATCAATCCTGAGAAAGAAGAACAAAGTTGGAGGGATCACAATACCAGATATCAAGCTATATTACAAAGCCACTGTTCTCAAAACTGCCTGGTACTGGCACAAGAACAGACATATAGGCCAATGGAACAGAACAGAGAAACCAGAAATCAACCCAAGCCATTATGCTTAATTAATATTTGACAAAGGAGGCAAGAGCATACAATGGAGTCAAGACAGTCTCTTCAATAAATGGTGTTGGGAAAATTGGACAATACATGAAAAAAATGACACTAGACCACCAACTTACACCATACACAAAAATAAACTCAAAATGGATAAAGGACTTAAACATAAGACTGGAAACCATAAAAATCTTAGAAGAATCCATAGGTAGTAAAATATCAGACATATGTCGTAGAATATCTTTACTGATACAGCTCCTAGGGCAGTGGTTCTCAACCTGTGGGTTGCGACCCCTTTGGGGGTCGAACAACCCTTTCACAGGGGTCGCCTAAGACCATCAGAAAACACATATATAATTACATATTGTTTTTGTGATTAATCACTATGCTTTAATTATGTTCAATTTGTAACAATGAAAATACATCCTGCGTATCAGATATTTACATTATGATTCATAACAGTAGCAAAATTACAGTTATGAAGTAGCAACGAAAATAATTTTATGGTTGGGAGTCACCACAACATGAGGAACTGTATTAAAGGGTCGCGGCATTAGGAAGGTTGAGAACCACTGTCCTAGGGCAATGGAAACTAAGGAGAAAATAAGCAAATGGGACTACATCAAAATAAAAAGCTTCTGCACAGCAAAAGAAACCATCAACAAAACAACAAGAAAGCCCACTGCATGAGAGAACATATTTGCCAATGTTATCTCCGATAAGGGTTTAATCTCCAAAATTTACAGGAAACTCATACAACTTAACAAAAGGAAGGCAAACAATCCAATAAAAAATGGGTAAAGGACCTAAATAGACACTTCTCGAAAGAGGACATACAGAAGGTCAACAGACACATGAAAACATGCTCAAAGTCACTAATCATCTGAGAGATGCAAATCAAAATGACAATGAGGTACCATATCACACCTGTCAGAATGGCTATCATCAACAAATCAACAAATGACAAGTGCTGGCAAGGATGCGGAGAAAAAGGAACCCTCCTTCACTGCTGGTGGGTATGCAGAATGGTGCAGCCACTGTGGAAAACAGTATGGAGTTTCCTCAAAAAACTAAAAATGGAACTCCCATTTGACCCAGTAATCCCACTTCTAGGAATATATCTCAAGAAATCAGAAACACCAATCAGAAAGGAGACAGATAAATACTGCCTCTGCCAGGTGATCAAAGAACAAACAAACCATAAACTATTTTTGAGTAAAAATACGGGAGAGATATAGGTAAAACATATTAGATGATTCCTTATCAAAGGGCCTATATCAACAACCCATATTTTGGTGATAAACAGGTGGTGGAAATTAAGGAATTTAGGCAACTCTGTATTGTTTGAATTTTTTACACAAAGAATGAACTGGGTGTATAAATAGAAAAAGTGCTATAGTTATTTTCTTTTAAAGAGGAAGAAATATATGTATGTAGACTATTGCTTTGTAATTTTTTAAAAAATATATTTCTTTATTGATTTCAGAGAGGAAGGAAGAAGGAGAGAGAGATAGAAACATCAAAGATGAGAGAGAATCATTGATCGGCTGCCTCCTGCACACCCCCTACTGGGGATCAAGCCCGCAACCCAGGCATGTGCCCTTGGCCGAAATCGAACCTGGGACCCTTCAGACCACAGGCTGACGCTCTATCCACTGAGCCAAGCCGGCTAGGGCTGCTTTGTAATTCTTAAGTAAATTAGTATTAGTATACTCTTCAATTTGGAAAGACTTTCATCCAAGATTCAATTTCAATTATTCTTCAATGATATTACAGTTTTATAATTACTAACACATTTTGTATTAACATCAATATAAAGGATACTGGATCTCCATAGATCAGAGTAAAATATATGTAATATATAATTATCATATTTGAACTTACCATGTACTCTTCGCTTTCTTCTCTATAGTCGTCCAATTCCTTATCCAGACGAGAGAGTTCTCTATTGATCTCATCAAGTTCTGCTTGTAAGCGCTTGTATTCCTGCAGGCCAGTGTCAAAACTTCTCTTATAGACTTGTCTTTGTTGATCTGAAGTGATAGGTGGATATTCCCTAAAAATTGAGTGAGAAAATGACTATGTGCCCTTAGCAGACATAAAATCCAGTGTTTCTTCCTCAAAGATAATAAAGCTGATGGGACATGGAGAATGACCTTCTTCTTTTTGTAGCTGATGGGGAGAGGAAGGTGGGCTGCAAATAGTTCTCTTAAGAAGGATTATACTTTCTACATCACTGATCATGTTGTATGTGTTGTTTTTTTTTTAATAAAAGCTATCCCTACATAATTTTGGGAAATAAAGTTAAAAGTAATTTATGAAATTTAAGGTTCAAGTTATAAGAACCCACTTATTCTGCATGTACAACACGATAATGCAACTTATGTTTAACGTCTTGGAATTGGTATTCTGGAACACGAGGCATGCTGTCGTCATTGGGGGGGCAGGGCAGTCCACTGGCAGCTGGCTGTTTTCCGCTACCACCTACAGTTTTCAGACTGTTTGGGGTATGGGTTGTTGTTTTTTGTTGTTTATTTTTTATCTTGGTCTTGTTTTTCCTAAGTGGAAATAGCTTATTTTAAGTCCTTTGATGATAAAAGTAGACTTTAAAATGTCCATGTATAAAAATGCATGCTCGTTGTACAAATAATCTGGCAATGCATTAAACTATGGAAAAAACCCTGAGTTTCTGTATCACTGTATCTCTCAATATACCAGCTGTTCTTTACATCTGAAGGTAATGCTATTCATCCCTAATCCACTGAGGAAATACTGAATTGTGTCACAAAACTACGGATCTTCTTAGCAATATGGAATTTCGGAATCTGGATCTAAGTCAGCCTAATACCTTCATTTTGCAGAGAGGATAAATTAAAGGATATGCTCAAAAGGGAAACAAGAATTCAGAATTTCTAAAAGTTTTCATTTAAATATTCTATGATATAAGTTAAGCAAATATTTCACAGGTATATGGCTGAGCTAGGCCAAAAACTCTTAAGGAGAGAGGGGAAACAAGGTCTGAGAAACACTCGTGTGTAGGGGATTTCAAACTATACCCACGCCATGCATCCCTAACACCGTGAGAAGCAATGTTTTCACTCATCACCATTCACACCACAAATGTTTCTGATTTGTATCCCATTCCTCACAATACTTGTGCATAAAAGGGCTACATCAAACACGAGTATAGCTGTGCGGATGGCCTAAAACAAAACCACTGACACACACACAAAGAAACTTAACCTCAATCTTGGCCAGAACACTAAATTGTTAACAACTGTATACAGAACTGTTTTCCAAAATCCTTTGGATAAACGTTTAAAAGAATCTCTGGTGTCATCGTGGAAGCTTAAAAGTAAATGCCAAAGCAGAGCCACAGCACCAGTCCGGGAAATTTATAATCAGTAAAATAAAGTTCCTCTGTACTTGTATTTTATTTATTTAAAGGCCTTTCTTGAGTAATTATTGGCAAAAGTAAGAGCCCTGGTGAAGTTCCTCAGCCATGCGTGGGGGCCGTGTAAGACACTATTACAGCCAAGCATACCCCCTCCATTGTCCATCTTTATTACGAACGAGTACTAAGAAAAAAACATAAAAGACCAGTCTCCGGTCCTGGTTGGCAAAGAATGGAATTATACCTTCCACCCCAGTTTAGGACACAACAGATCCCAAACGCTAATATCAAATGTGCAGGTGGCTCCAGCGAAAGAGGCAGCGCGTACCTGATCCAGTCCTCCTCCAGCTCATCGCAGGACTCGCCGCCAGTCGTGTAGTCTGTCTCATAGTGGTCTTGCTCTGGCCTCTTTGACTTGCCCGCCCTTCTCTTTGTGGGAGCCCTTTTGGACGGTGTCTCAAAGTTACCATCGCTGCTGTAACGAGGATGCCTGAAGTCATCCACAGGGGACGTCACGGGAAGCTCCTGCACCACTTCGGGCACCCTAATACACAGGAATGAGTTTTCAGTGATCACTGGGCACACGGCAAGCCTTTGCCAGTGCACTGTAAGCACAAAGAGCAGCAACAGTAACTATTAGGAGCTCTGCATGTAGGTGCATTCACTCAAGCACCTACAGTGCTCATACGCTCAACACTGAGCGGACCCCCTAGTGTCCTGCGTTCAATGTAGCACCAGCTCAGATCCTGCAATACACAGGAGAAGCGTTACGGTTCCTCTGTAAGAGGAGCCCATTTATAAACCTTTTAAGTGAAATGGATCTAAGCTTTCATTTAATTTAGGCTGGTCTGGAAGACACGTTTACCTGACCTGCGCTGGGGATACACTCCACAAAAGGCTGCCAGGAAAACAATGGCCATGATTCCTTTCTACAGGTTCTTCGAGTTCCATGGCATGTTGAGTAGAGAAGAGGAATGAATGTACACACATATCTACCTTTGGAAGCTGACTCACAGAGACAGACCTTTGTAACATTAACCTTAGACTCCTTTATATCAATTTCCTTTTCAAGATATCTCAAAAAAACTAAAAATTAAAAACAAAAGCTTCATACAGTAATAGATGAAAAGGCTCATTAAGACTTCTTTTGTAGGCGCTTACACTGGCCACGCATTTTCTCTGCATTAAACATGCTTTTATATATATATAAAAAGACTTCTTTTTCTTTTGTAAAATTGCTTTGTTAATCCTGAAGCCACACGGAATGAATGGAACGGAAGGGTTACCATTACACTTATTTTCCCTTTTTAAATATTTTTTTATTGATTTTAGAGAGGAAGGGAGAGAGAAAAACATCAATGGTGAGAGAGAATCACTGATCGGCTGCCTCCTGCACGCCCCCTACTGGGGATCAAGCCCCAACCTGAGCATGTGCCCTTGACTAAAATCAAGCCTGGGACCCTTCAGTCCACAGGCTGACACTCTAGCCACTGAGCCAAATCGGCTAGGGCTATACTTATTTTTCTAATGCAATTGTTCAGTATCGAATCAGATTTTTCATTGCACATAATGTTTCAGCCACAAGCTTAAAACCAAAGCCTAACATGGAGTAAAATACCAAGAGCTATGGCAACTGTATCCCACTTCTGAGTAACAGAAAGGCAAAGCTTCCCTTTCACCTGTAGCTGAGCTGGAGAAGGGCAAGAGAAAGGAAAGGAAGGCAAGGAAAGCACCTGAGACTTCCCAACATCAGCCTCGCTATTCAAATCAACCACTAAGGACGGTTGAAGATTTTCATTTATTTCTTTACACTTACCATAACTGTGATCCGGAGCATTATCTACAAGGTTTACTCTTTTCTAGGTGATCCAGAACTGCCTGACTTTGCTGTCAAAGTCTAAAGGTGTGTATGTGTTTGTAGTTGGGGGTGGGGGTGGTATTTATTCCTTCTTTCTGAATTTATTCATGCTAGCATGGCTTTGTGTGCTAAGTTAATGCTACTTCTATTGGGAGGGAAAATGTGACTTTCTCCATGAGTCAATAATTAAACAAGTTCCTAGACACACTGCCAAAATGCCGGGCACTATGCATGCTTCTTGCTTTGACATGACTAACAAAACCTTTAGCATGCATTGGCTTTGAGAGGCTGAGCGCCAGAAGGGAAGGAAACTAAAGGGCAAGAGAAATTAGAAAAAAGAAGACATTAAGGCAGGTTTCCCCCTAATTTTTTTATTAGTTATTGATATTATAAATCTTTACCTTGGAAGTTTTCCAACTCTCCTCTTCCCACACCCTTCAAAATAGTACTAAACAGTAACATACTTAATATAGCATAAAAGCTAAGCACAAAATGCTTAGCAGTAAAAGAATATATAAATTTAAGAACTAGGGAGTATGTATACTCTCAATAATCTCCTAACCTACTTTTAGATGCAAGTCCTATTAGGTCAAAATCCACATAACCCAGAACAAGTAACCAGCTGCATACTTTCCTCAGTACCCAACTCAGTCTCCCAGGTCTGGAAGTCCCCCCTTTGTAGCTTTTGGATTGTTTCTTTTTTTTAAATATATTTTATTGATTTTTTACAGAGAGGAAAGGAGAGGGATAGAGAGTTAGAAACATCGATGAGAGAGAAACATCAATCAGCTGCCTCCTGCACACCTCCTACTGGGGATGTGCCCGCAACCCAGTTACATGCCCTTGACCGGAATCGAACCTGGGACCCTTCAGTCCATAGGCCGACGCTCTATCCACTGAGCCAAACCGGTTTCGGCGTTTCTTTTTATTTACTTGTTTTATTCTCTCACACACACCCTCACATGCCTTTGCTGCTATTATCTTGCCATGACTCTCAATGTAGTTACTGTGCACTTTCTTCCGCCCCTGTTAGTCTGCAATCTCCATGAGAGCATGGACTTGGTATTCCCAGGGCAGCTGGCCCAGTACTGTGTGCGTGGCAGGTGTTCAAGGTAATTACTCAATTAAAATCAGTCACATGAATCCTGTTTTCTGAGGACACCCACTATCAATGGGGGAGAAACAATGCATAATTAATACCAGTGTCTTTCTTGGTTGTCAGAATGATGTCCGTTGTTTTTCTGGTGTCCCTCCAAAAAAATGTGCACACACTTTTTTCTGATAGGTCAACTGATGTTTTTTACTTCTCAGATTTAACTCATTGGAATGAATAATTATTCAAAATGTATATACATTTTTGGGGACACCCTATATATTGTGTTTAGAACTGTCACCATTATTGGGGGGAGTAACTAAGCCTTGCTAATCACAAAACTTCACCTTTCTGACCTTGGGGATGACAATGATCCAAAAGGCCAATCAGAATCTTTCCAATAGATTGATATTGATATGCAAGCTTTGGGGGGAAAAATAATTCCTTTTTTAAAAATATGTTTTCATTGATTTTAGAGAGAGAGGAAGGGGGAGGGGAGCGAGAGAAAGAGAGGAGAGAAGGGAGGGAGAGAGATAAGCATTGATTGGTTGCCTCCCACAAGCACCCGAACAGGGATCAAACCTAAAACTTGGGCATGTGCCCTCAGTGGGAATGGAACAGGCAACCTTTCAGTGCATGGTACAACGCTCAATCTACTGAGTCACACCTGCCCAGGAGGGATTTTCTGATGGGAACGTGGATAACCCATCCTGTTACAAGGGAAGCTGTACTGAGAATAAAGACAACATAGCAACAAGGCCCTGATATCTTCCGGGTCCCTGGATATGCCATGCCTGACACAGACCCACCCCTGGGCCTTAGGTGAACCAGTGAATTCCTACGACTTGCATAAAAGCCCTAACAGATTACCCAGTCAGCCTATTTGCTACCACCAAACAATGGGCTGTCTTATTTGTCGCCCTAGGGCAGCGGTTCTCAACCTGTGGGTCGCGAACAATGAAAATACATTCTGCATATCAGATATTTACATTACGATTCATAACAGTAGCAAAATTAAAGTTATGAAGTAGCAACGAAAATAATTTTATGGTTGGGGGTCACCACAACATGAGGAACTGTATTAAAGGGTTGCGGCATTAGGAAGGTTGAGAACTACTGCCCTAGGGTGTCATCCTGCCTTGAAAGTTCTCTGTAGTGTCAACACTCAACTTCCTTGATTTATTAAGGTTAATTCACCCTGGGTGTGGACAGTATACTAGAGAGTGTACCTAACAGGGCTCTCCCAAATTCATTTAGGAAGGGTAAAGAGGCAACCATCTTCAGCTAAATTCTGCTGTCACCTAACCCAGGATTAATTCTGACTACCTGGAAATTCTAAAGTATAGGACATTAAGATGAAGAGGAGCTAGACATGAGAGTATGTTTATGATTCCATTAAATAAATACTCCAATAACACGCTAAACTAATAGATGGTGATAGGCATCAAAATGGGGTTGGGGGGGGAGGGTGACAAAAGGACACCAGAGCACCTTTTGGAGTGCTAGAGATGTCTCTCTGGGTGCAGTGGTGGTGACTTCAGTGTTCACATCTGTGAAAATTCATCAGGCTATATACTCAAGATTAGTGCTTTTTAAAAAAATATATCTTTATTATTGATTTCAGAGAGGAAGGGAGAGGGAGAGATAGAAACATCAATGATGAGAGAGAATCATTGATTGGCTGCCTCCTGCATGCCCCCTACTGGGGATCAAGCCGGCAACCCGGGCATGTGCCCTTGACCGGAATCGAACCTGGGACCCTTCAGTCTGCAGGCTGACGCTCTATCCACTGAGCCAAACCAGCCAGGGCAAGATTAGTGCTCTTTACTGAATGTACGTTATGCTTTTGGGGGAAGAAAATCTTAGTATTGAGGAACCATGGACCTCAGACACAATGCTCCCATTCTAATTCCTTCTCTGCCTACCGCAATAGCAAGGAGGAAAGGTGTTCGTGGGTTCTTAGCACCTCAGGAAGCCTGAGGGAAAACATACTATGACTTAATGTGCATCTCTACCTCCACAGCCGATGCACTCTGAATCCTCCACAGCACTCAGTACTCTGCCACAGTCAACACTCGACAATTTCTATTACTCCCCAGAGACGGCAAGTTCCTTCCATCACTACCGCACACATCAGGTGCTGCGCTATGGGATTCGCTGTCACATTCGTATCCCTTAGCACCATTCCCATCCTCCCCTTCTGGATTCTAAAATTAATCATCACATTTGCATTGCCAAGACCTTCAAAAAAGTTCTAGGGTGTAGGTAGGGAGTATAAACTGGTACAACCATTATGGAATACAGTTTGACCATATCTATCAAAATGAAATACGCAATTGCCTTTAGTCCAGCAATTCTCCAGATACATTCACATATGTGCAAAGTGATAAAAGTGCAAGTTTATTCCCTGCAGTGGTTTGTAATCACAAAACATTGGGGGAAAACTGTGCATCAATATGGGAATAACAAAATAAGTTACTGCTGGAATATTAGGCAGCTATGAAATAGATCAGGAAACTCTTTGTATACCAATATGAACACTCTCCAAGATACAGTGCTAACAAGGCATTTAATATGCTAGTATTTTTTAAAGGAAAAAACATACCAATATTCATATTTGGCCAGCATATTTTACTTAAAAATTACCTCTGGAAGGATATAAAAGAAACTGGTAATACCAGCTGCCTCCTGGGAGAGGAACTAGAGATCTCTTTTGTCCCTTTTAAATTTTACTTATGAATGTATTGATTTACTTAAGAATAAGTAAGATTTTTAAATTGTTCTAAATGAATTTGAAAATATTTTGGTTTTCATGAAAAGGGACAACATGTGGGAATGCTATGTAACCATGCAGGTCTTACAATTAATTTAGAGGCATAGCTGGTCACATGCATTATAGGTATTTATTTTGCATGTGTGAAAGCCCTATAAATCACCACTCAAAACTTGCACAAGGATTGAATCCCCACTATGTACCTTTGCCCTAATAGCTTCAGGTGCTTTGGTTTTTGTTAAAATCCAAAGAGAAGGAGAATAGAGAAAATGCTCTTTCTCCCAATCATTCACAACTGGAATGAACAGAGAGGCTGATTCTGCAGACCAAAGCAACATATATGGAGTGTAAGGCAGCTGCCCGTCTGTCTCCAAATTCCATTCCCATAATCAATCTATCGCCTTCAAACTGCTTCCATAATTAACGCAGCTGCCGGTGTCACCTTACAGGGTTCCAGGTGCTCACACTGTGCACTCACAGTGGGTCCCACTAAATGAGGGTGCAGGGTGGAAAGAAAACTTTGGAGTCACAAAAAGTTTTCCAGCAGACACACCTGTGACTAAGAACAATCAAACTAACTAAAGGGAAGGTTTCTTTTTTTTGGTCTACAAAGGAATTTGGAGTTCTAGAATTAAATATAGCAACACAACTTACCATCCTTAGGCAAAAATGACATCCAAGTCCTTAATAATACTTCCAATATCCATTTCTCACTAGTTCATTAGAATTAGGCTGAATTAGAATTAGGCTTTAGGATAAACTAAAACCACAATGGGGATACCATTTCAAAAACCATAATGGCATACCGACTCTAGGCCAGAAACTCAATTCGAGGTTTTTTACACTGTATGTGTAACAAAAGCTAGAGCCTTCACCAGCAATACAGAGGCTCTAGCACAGCAAAGGAGATCTCAAAATTCCTGAATTCTGCCGAAACCGGTTTGGCTCAGTGGATAGAGCGTCGGCCTGCGGACTGAAAGGTCCCAGGTTCGATTCCGGTCAAGGGCATGTACCTGGGTTGCGGGCACATCCCCAGTGGGAGATGTGCAGGAGGCAGCTGGTCAATGTTTCTCTCTCATCGATGTTTCTAACTCTCTATCTCTCTCCCTTCCTCTCTGTAAAAAATCAATAAAAATATATTAAAAAAAAAAAAAATAGAAACTCATCTCTCCCCAGCATTTAAAAAAAAAAAAAAATTCCTGAATTCAAATGAAGTCTAATTCTAAAAAAATAAAAAGGTAATATGCAAATTGATGTAAGGGCAGAACGACCAGAACGACTGGTCGCTATGACACGCACTGACCACCAGGGGGCAGACGCTCAATGCAGGAGCTGCCCCTGTGGTTCGTGCGCTTTCTCCGGATTGACTTCTTTTGCTCACCAACCGGGGTTGACACTTGTGAGATTGCTGCGAGGCAAGGGGAGCCTCTCCCACTTCTTCGGCAGTCCTAAAGATGTCTGACAGCAGTTGCACATCCCCCAAGGCTCCCTGGCTGCCAGAGGATGTCCGACTGCCAGCTTAGGTCTGATCCTCTGGGGAGCAGGCCTAAGCTGGCAGGTGGACATCCCCCAAGGGGTCCCGGACTGTAAGAGGGTGCAGGCCAGGCTGAGGGACACCCCCCACCCACCCACGAGTGCACGAATTTTTGTGCACCGGGCCTCTAGTAGTTTAATAAAAATATATGTGGGCAGGGTTGATCAATGAGCAATCTCCCTTTCTACTGAGGAAAGAGTGAAGATAGGGAAAATATAAAATGAAGGCATTTTAACCAAGCTACTAAATTATTTAACATTATGAAGGTTGAGGCATGAAGAAATTATTCTTTTTATCTTAACTCACCTGGGAACTTCAGCTGTTGAACTTTCCAGTCCTGAACCAGTATGTCTAGACATACATCATACCTGCAGATAACCCTCGGACTACCCCTAAAGAACTCGGGATGTTACCAGGCTCCTGGTGCCCATCCTCCAGACTGCCTGACCTCTGACTGATAACTGTCCTGGACCAGCCTGAGGGCTAAGAACGCAGGACTAATTATTGTTAAGGATGTGACTTTAACTATAAGAATTTTTATTGATTGACTTTTAGAGAGAGTGAGGGAGAGAGAAACACTTACTTATGCATTCATTGGTTGATACTTGTACCTGCCCTAATCGGGGATCAAACCTGCAACCTTGGCATATCTGGACCACGCTCTAGCCAACTGACTTACCTGGCCAGACAACCGTAAGAACTCTTAACTTTTCTTTCTTCTTTGGAACACTTCTAGGTTTTTGCCTAGAAATGTTTCCAGCTTGCAAACTCTAAGATCCTTAAGTAAATTATTATCATTTATTTCTCGCCAAAGCTTCCTGATTTTTTTGTGTTTATTCAACACTCTAAATGAGATCTAATAATTATAGGCAAAAGGAGAGACTGAGAAATGCACTAAGCTATGCTATCAATCAGTAATGCCCTTTTACCCACACCTAAACTCAAAACCAGAACTAGGACAGAGAACCATATTCCTAGAATTAAAGAACCTAACCTACCTCTACCTATTAAATCATCAGGAGAAAAGCATTTTCAGCTTAGAAGAAGAGGACCCCACCTCACAGTCCCACCCTTCTTACCTTCCAAGTAACCCTAGGCATCCACCTACAATGCAAAGATCAGTCTCCAGCCTTTATGCAAACTGTTGGATTATTTTTTTTTTAAGGTAAATGGTACAAAACAGTAACAGATTTATAAAAGCACAAGTATTCATGTTTTAGACTCAGAATATCAGAAGAAGCTGCTACTTACGGTGTTGATTTATAGGATGATTCTGGATACAACCGCTTGTCATTCACTTTACCATTGGAAGAGTAGGCCACGGGACTGTACACTCTGTCCACGTAGTCCGAAGGCGGAGGAGGCATGTCTTGTGTGCCTGCAGAAACGTTTTTAACCTAAAGAAACAGCCCCAAAGAGACACAGGTATTATTTAGCCTGTAATTTAAAGGGGGAAGAAAAAAAATATATAAAATGATCTAGTATTTACTGGGCTCATCAAATACTATTAACCTGTAATGATTGCCTTGTTATTGGAGCTGTCAAATCAGTATTTTGACAAACACATAAAGGTGCTATTGCTAGTTTAACAAGTCCATAATGAATTACAAAGAAGAAGAAAAAAACCCAAGTTACCCAATTCTCATCTTGGTGTGTTTAGGTGGAATAATTATCCCTGGCAATTGCTTCTCCCCCATATTAGGAAGACTAGTCTCATTGTATGTAGGTCAGGTCTGTGTTAGGGTGAGAATTTTCATTTCTAACAAGTTCTAAGGACCACACTTGGAACACCTATTAGCTAGGGCAAAGGACAATGGTTCTTCTTAACCCATTCACCCTAAACACGGACCACTAAAACCACAGAAGAAATTAAGAAGCGCAAACTGGTTTCTGCTATAATTCTTTATTGAGATTTGAGTATTCTCCCTCGACGTACATGCTCAATAGCACTATTATTAATAGCCTGTACAGTACAGTCCCATCGTTGCTGTCCCTCTCTGCTCTCCATAAGTGAATTTGTACTAAGAAGGAATATATATTAGAGATTATGCTTTGTTAATATGAAAGGTTTCCCACAGAACCTGTGGGAGAAAAATTTAAATATAATAAGCATGGACAATTAGATTTTCAACATTGTTAGAGTTCATGAAGCAGCGCCCACAAGCTTTAAATTTCACCTAAAAATCTTAACACATTACTTTGCAATTGATTAAAAGTAACTGCTAAATTCTGAGTTGTTTCAAAGTAAAGGAATAAAATAAAGCATGGGGAAACATTAAAAATAACTCCATAGGCTCTGGCCATAGCTCAGTTGGTTAGTTGTCCTGACAAGTGGAGATTGCAGGTTTCCATCCCTGGTCAATGTACATACAAGAATCAATCAATGAATGCATAACTACGTGGAACAACAATTCAATGTGTTTCTCTCTCTCTCTCTCTCTCTCTCTCTCTCTCTCAAATCAATCCATAAATAAAATTTTAAAACTCCATAAACTATTAGAACAACTTTCAAAATTAGGTAGGATAGGACTACTTTAGCTTGGTGATGGCATCAGATTTCCTGGGCTTACTCCAGATCTGCCAACTACAAGCTCTAGAAAGCCTCAGTCTGCTCATCTGGAAGAAATGCAGAAGCTTCTTACTTCATGAAGTTGTTTTGACAACTAAGTGACATGACAAGGTATCACATTTAGCATAGTGCCTTTATGAACACAGTAAAAACTCGGAAGATGCTAGGTTTTGGAATTAAAGTCTTTGGATCTAAACAAAGAACTTTATAAGTATCTGAATGTGACAGCAGACTTTTCATTGGATTATTGTGCTATTATGCATCCTAGCAATTAAGTTCAGTATCAATACAGTGTATTTCCTTGCAACACACCCGCCTGACATCTTGTTTCCCAGTGTATTTCCTTGCAACACACACACACACAGTTGACATCTTGTTTCCCGTTAAGCATAGCATTACAATATGACTTGTTTTTTTCCTATCACTGCAATATCACATTCCGAAATATTTATTTACCCAGCCCTCTAAGGCCATGGAGGTCTTCTTGATTGTTTAATAGTCCTGTGAGTCAGAAAAGAATGGAATCATTTCCTCCTGAAATGGAGTTTGGCAGCAACTGGGAAACCGGTGGGTGGGTTGCCAGGGAGTGTGCTGAGATCCCACCACAGGGGGCGCGGGTGGGAACCATTCTTGGCTCCCCAGATGAATTCCTCAGGACTTGACAAAGGCCTATTCTTATTCTGGAGACTTCAGAGTTTAAAAAGACTGCCTTTTCTTTAAAACCCATTTAACACCCCAGGTTCTTTCCCCTTCACAACTTTAGCAGAGGCTCAAAGCTTGGAGATTTCCTACTGACTCTAACAAACCAGAAACCAAAACTTGACAAAAAGGTGCCTGGGTGTCCCAGTAGAGACTGCTTACTGCCTGGAATGGAATGTCCTTCCTCCTTTCTTTGCCAGCTAATCCTTAATTGGGCTCCAAGTCTTGGCTCACTACCAAGGAGTAGTAATGCCACTACCTCCTGGAGGCCTTCCACCTGTGTCCCTGCTGGGTGAGGCATCTATCTGTCCTCCCATCTCCTCAAGCACCTGTGCACACAAACCTCCCACCCACCACAGCACTGACGCACTGTGGGAACAATTGTTTACACGCAGTATAATGGCTTGCTCCCATATCTCTGACTTCAGTAGGCAGTAGACTGTTCTAAAAGCCACCACTGTCTGCCTGCTTACAATGTGCCAGATACTGAATTCATGCATCATTTAGTAACCACAACCTGAGAGGTAAATACTACGATTCCTTTTTCAGAAATGAGGAAGCAGTGGTTCACAGAGCTAGACAACTTTCCCAAAGACCTATACCTAGTAAGTGGTAATGTGGAATTTAAACACAGGGCTCACCCGAAAGCCTCTGCTACAATCCACCACCTCTCCCTGGGCAGTCTCCTACCTTCTCTTTGGGTCTCCAAAGCCCAGCACAGTACCTGGCAAAAATCAGGAACCCAGAGTTTGCTGCACAGAGGTTATCTCACTTACTGCTGCTCTACATTGTGTATATCCAAACATCTTATTAACTGAGCTGCTCTGCGCTGACCTTTATCTCTTAGCAGGACAGGACTAACTTGTCCACTGACTTCACCCTCCAGCAGGTCTTTGGTTACTTTAACCTTTTTCATATGTATGCACAAAAAATTCCAAGGTACTCTTTGTTTTGGCAGAGCTTATACTAAAATTGGAGTAATACAAAGAAAATTCATTATTAGCATGGTCTCTGCAAAAGGGTGGCATGCACATCTGTGACAGGTTCACATTCTTAAAAATCCCCAGCCAAGCATGTCAAACACACAATGCAATAGACAGGTGATGTATATACAATTGTACACTTGAAATCTTTAAGATGATATTAACCAATGTCCCCCCAATAAATTTTTTTATGTATTATTTTTATTGATTTTAGAGAGAGAGAGGAAGAGAGAGAAACATCAATTTGCTGTTCCACTTATTTATGCATTCACTGGTTGGTTCTTGTATGTGCCCTGACCAGGGATCAATCCTGCAACCTTGGTGTATTGGGACGATGCTCTAAGCAACTGAGTCACCAGCCAGGGCTCACCCCAATAAATTTAATTTTTTTAAAATCCCCATACAGACTCATAGAAGAATAAGAAGCAGACCAGGTCCTTAAAATGAGCTTAAGGATATAGAGGCAGAGGTAAAATATATTTATAAAATAAAGAGGAAGGTCATTTTTTTCCTTTTTACACTTCACTTTTTCTGAAAATAAAAGCTAAAATGTTACTTTTTCTCATAGTACCCATGCAAAATGAGTACAAACTTGCTGCTTTGAAAAGACAGGAGAAGAAAGGGGGAAGACCCAGCTATTAGTAATTTATATAGAGAGTCCTCAACCTGTGCATCCTATTAGGACAAAAAGGATTTCTGATCTTCACGGTATTATTGATAGGATCCCCCACCCAGTCAGACCACAAGACTCAATGATGTAAAGTTGTTTTAAAAAAAAAAAAAAACCCATACAAACAAAACCCCATCATTTTAATAAATAAAATGTGTTTAAAGTTTTAGAACCTGAGAAAAACTAGGCTTAATTCTAAGCAGCAAATGGTGAACAGTTTTCCTCAAGTACCTTGAGACAGCTCTGAAGAAATTAGGGGCAGAAATGAAAACACAAATTAAGAAAGACTTGGCTTCTACTAAGTACTGAGAGGAAAGAAAAGTCTGAGAGCCAATCATTCCAGAAATCAAATGCTGCAATTGTTGCTCTGAAGCACAGAGGAGCCTTAGAGGCTATCCAGTGTCTCTCCCTCCAGGGCCTTGCAGTGGGAGGAGACCCACATGAAGGCGGAGGGGAGCTGCAGGCAGCAGAAACCCACCCAGCAGGGCCCAACCAGCTTCCCTTATCTGGGATCTGCTGGAGGAGTCCTGGTCCTAGTGGCACCCACACCCCACATACAGACTGTAAAAGGGAAAGATAAGACAACAGAAGGAAAGACACGCTGAGGAGAAAGGCACCTGAACAACTAAAAAAATGACTCAGACTCACTCTGGAGACTATATTCAAAAAGGACAAGCACGCACACCGACCTTGTTTAAGGAACATGAATAATTACTTTAGGGTGAGACACAGGACAAGTTTTACTAAGATATTTCAATCCAGAGAAGAACAAAAGTGTTTCTGAAATGTCAACGTGAAATAAACTCAAATGAAATCATTTCAAAAGGTCTTCACAAGAGGTAATTATGAGGACAAAATTTTATTCAAAATTTAATTCTACTCATTAAGAAGAGTTCTGATTATGCCACTTGTAGGGGGGAAAAACACACCTTTGTAACCACATCTAACATTCCTTGGAGAATTTATGAAAATATCCTAAATCCCTGTGGGGTGCTAAAGGGAGAACAGAGGGTGGCTCTATTCAACCCTCCAAACCCTGTCAGCACTGTGCCTTCCAGGCTGGGGGTGGGGGATGGGGGGTGGGGGTGGGGGGGGGACATGGCCGTACTCAATCCTGTGTGGGAAGGCTATTGACTCATGCCCAGCCTCCCACCCTGAGCCTTCTAAGTCACAGATGGGATTAAAAATAGAATGTTCTAGGGCCCTTTGAAAGAAAATCTTTTCTCCCCCAAAACACAGTTTGGGGAAACCATTTCTTTCCATGCAAAGCTACTTCCTATGTCATTTGGAATCAGTACAAGCAAAAAGGAGATTTACAGCCATTCCCATGTTTCTTTTCATCCCGTCTTCATTCCCAGTTCACAGAAGGGAAAAGAGGCAGGCTCCACCCGCATCCAACTCACGTAGCAATCTGACAAGTCACCCGCCTCTAAGAACAAGAGGAAAGTTCACCTGCTATGTGTTTATGACCTGTCTATTCCTCACCACTGCCCGAGTAGATACAATTATCTCCATTTTCAGATGCGGAAATTGAGCCTCTACGATTAAATTAATTTGCTCAAGGTCACACAGAAGGTGGTGTGGTAGACAGGGGATTTGAACCCTAGTCCACTTGGTGCCAAAGGCCAATGCTTTCTCAGGTAACAAACTGCAACCTCAGTGATTTAAATATGGCTTGAGGTGCCTAGCGAGTCTGGGTACTGATTAGTCCCTGTGACAAATGGAGTCATTCTCTTTGCCTCAACTCCTCACCACACCCTAATGAGATGTGAGGTGAATCCATTTTGAAGAGCTTTACTTGCCTTTTAGAAAAATGTAAAAGCAGCTTCTCACACAGAATTACTGTGAATCTGTGCTTCAGTCACCAGGTGCCTTTGTTTAGGTCAGAGTGTAGCCACACCACCCTCAGAAGGGGAACAGAAGGGCCTTCCCTGCTTGGTAATTATGGTGGAGAAAGAACAGACATCAGAGGGAGGAGTCCCTTAATCTCAAAGTACCATCTCCAGTTTTACAACCTGCGTCCACTTTCAGACCAGTACGTGGCCCAACTTGTTTTTCCTGTTCTCTGAGATTATACCCACAAGATGCTCCCCCAACAAGAGCCTCAAAATTGCCTCTGGAAAGTTCCTCAGACTTCTATCCACCCTGGGCCTCCCGAAGGCGGATTTTCCCAAATGTGCTAATCCCACAGGTGAAGGGCTCGTGGACCAGGTGTGAGCCTGTCTGATTCATTTTCTGTTGATCAAATGGCACTGAGGAGTTAGCAAACCCAATGTCCCCAACCGAAGTTCATGCTGCCCGTTGGGAAATACTAACATATACCAACAAAGATGAATTCTGAACTCCCTAGGAGTCAACGAATTGTTAAGAGAGCTTTGGAAGAGAGTGAGCTGGAGAAACCTTATCCTCAGTGAGTGATAACATTCAAGGCCTCCTTGCTCTAGAAACGGAAATCCTGGTGCAGACTGTATTTTAATACTCATGTACCTCATGCCAGCGCTCCCCAACAGGTATGCCACAAGGCCCGGAACACCTTCGTCCTCAGAGCCTGTGGACAGTCACCACCTGGGGTTCCAAATCCCCTTCAGTTTCCTCCAGGACTCCGTACAATGTTACCGTGATGTGGAAAAGGCCCTGTGCCTACCCTAACGCAGTGCAGCTTGGCTCTGCAGGGCAGTGGTTCTCAAAGTGTGGTCCCCACACCAGCAGCATCCACGTTACTTGGGAAACTCATTAGAAATGCAGACTCCCAGGCACCATTCCAGAGCTACTGAATGAGAAATTCTGGGGGTGGGGCCCCGCAAGCTGTTTTAACCATTCCTTCAGGTGATTCTGGTGCTTGTAAGGTTTGAGAACCACTGACCAAGGCAGACAACTGCCCCATTTGGACCATTATACTATCTCCTATCATTAGTTCTAAGTAGTGCTTGAAATCTAGGAATTCCTGCTCTCAGAGAGCCACAAAGGCAGCACCAGCTTCACCGCATGCTCCACCTCCTACTGCATCTTACAACTCCTAACCCGTCTCCCCGGGATGCCCTGGCCTGCTCGCCCACCCACCCCTTTTCACTCACAGGGGTGCTGGACAGACAGGGTCGCAGTGCTCCGTGCTGGTGGGTTCTAAAAGTCAGTAGCCAGATAGGGCACTTCCCCTTTTGTTTCATTTTGACTCACCTGAGGCCACGGGTAACAGTATACCATTACAACATACCAATAGTCAGAAACCCTGTAAAATGACTGCTTTTACATTAAAGAATGCTTGTAGTGGTTGAAAATTAAAAAGCTATTCAGCCCTCACCCATGTGGCTCAGCAGCTAGAGTGTCGGCGGGTGCACCGAAGGGTCTGGATTTTGATTCCTGGTCAAGGGCACATACCTGGGTTGGAGGTTCAATCCATAGTCCCAGTCCAGGCATGTGCGGGAGGCAACCAATCAATGTGTCTCTCTCGCATTGATGTTTCTGTCTCTTTCTTCCCCCCTCCCTTCTACTCTCTCTAAAAATCAATTGGAAAAATATCAATGGGTGAGGATTAACAACAACAGACAAAAGCTATTCAAATTTCTTCAGATGTCTAATGCTGATTACCACCACTGCTTAGTCCCAGTCACCTACCCCATCCATATCTGTTTCCCCATCCTGTGTACAAGATGTTATTCAGGGCCTGCCTATACCCTTTCAGGAAAAAAAAAATGTTTTTATCGGAACTTGTAGCTAGCTTATAAGCTTACAAGTAAGAGAAAATTAAGTTAAACTGCAACCAATATTAAATGTACTTACATTTTGGGTGCTCTTAGCCAAGTTCCCTTATTCACGCTCATCACTGCAAATGCTAACAATTACTAGTCTAGCTAAAATGTATTGGGCATTAATAAAATATGCGCTGGCCCAGACTGACCTAAGCCCTTTAATTGTTGCAGAATCAGCAAATCTGTAGGTGGACCTTGTATTTTCCCAATGTATACAAGAGGAACCTATTAAATAAACAGACAAAGTGACAGTCTTCATCACCACAAAGAACAATCAGGACCCTGTCCCTTCTCTACACCAGCCAGCTCATCCTCACTAGCTCCTACCTTGTCAGGTAAATCCTGGGTGCAATGCTACATAAATGTTGCATCACAATGTCAAAGGCTTAGAAACTTCTAGAAATAAAGCTACCTAGATAACAAACTTAGCTTTAAGTATTTCCTACTAAAAAATAAAATCTTTTTTAAAAAAGATTTTTAAAAAATTAATTTTGAGGGAGAGAGAAACTGAGGAGGAGAGAGAGAAACATCAATGTGAGAGTGAAACACCAACGGGCTGCCTCCTGTATGCCCTCTACTGGGGATCTAACCCGCAACCCAGGCATGTGCCCTGACCCGGAATCTAACTGGCAACCTTTTGGTGCACAGGATGATGGCCAACCAACTGAGCCACTCCGGCCAGGGGTAAAAATAGAACTTTTTAAAACAAATTACTACTTGGTAACAATGGAGAAACAAGTTTATGGCATGCTCTTTCCAAACTTAGTCTATACCTGCTTCTGACATAATCATGTGGCAATAACAAAAAAAGGTACAAATTAGCCGAACGGGTTTGGCTCAGTGGATAGAGTGTCGGTCTGCGGACTGAAGGGTCCCAGGTTCGATTCCGGTCAAGGGCATGTACCTTGGTTGCAGGCACATCCCCAGTGGGGGGCATGCAGGAGGCAGCTGATCGATGTTTCTCTCTCATCGATGTTTCTAACTCTCTAACCCTCTCCCTTCTTCTCTGTAAAAAAACAATAAAATATATTAAAAGAAAAAAAGGTACAACATT